CCCCCCCCCCCCCCCCCCCCCCCCCCCCCCCCCCCCCCCCCCCCCCCCCCCCCCCCCCCCCCCCCCCCCCCCCCCCCCCCCATAAAAGAATGATGGATATAGGTGCTAAGTGAGATAGAAATGCAAAAACGATAAAAAATATTAATCACCTTTGTTTTCCGCCCTGAATTTTCGTCAGATAATGTTTTATGTGTAAATCTAACAAATTATACATCATTCGATGCAGTTTTGCGCGCTGACTCCAAATATCTCATTATTTTTTAATAAAAATGTTCCTGGGCTAAGAAAAGATTTTATCTAAAATATAACTTGAGGTTTTCTGCAAAACCCCGTAACTACATGTGAGAAACGTTGTACATCTTTTTGTGCATATACTATAGGTACAGCACATCTTGGCGAACATTTTGGTATACTTTAAAGTCGTTTAACAACCAAGAAAAATCGAGCGACGTAATTGCTTTCGAATCTGAAGCTGAATTTCTCTGCAAAACTGCTGTTTTCTATCAAGTTTCTTTCGGTCAAAGTTGAAAAGCTTTTTACCAAAAGATAGCTCGCAATTTTTTTGATCAAGAATATGTCAAATAACCGAATTTGTATCGATTAATTCGAATGAAAGAATTGATTTTCAAAGAGAGGGTTAAAACACACGCTACTTTCTGTCTTAGATTTTTCCTAGTGTGCATGTGAAACGGAAATTTTTACATGATTAAATTGACCATTAATTGAAGTATATAGGGAACTATGGAACTCTAGCAAAAGGGTACTTTCGATTTTTTTCTATATGTCCGTCTGGATGCCTACTATGCGTTATTTATATTGTTGTAGATGTGAAGCAGTTTTTAAAAGTGCAGTGCACCACATAGGGCACCACACGGGCATCCACGTGGACATTCAGCCAAAAAGTCAACTTTTGATTTTTCTAGTTTTTATTCTGGAATTATCAAGTGTGATATCCTAGCTGTCTATCCCTAGAATAACAATTTTTTAACTATAGAGGAACAGTGCGAAAACTCAGGCTAAAACACTGATAACAAGAGGAACAATCAATCTTTTATAAAGCTGAATTAAATATTTATATTCAAAACAATGTTAGAGAGAAGTCATGACTGTTTTGTCTGTTTTCTACAAAAGAATGATCCAAATTGACTTTAAACTCGAGGGTGTTTCATTGATAAACACGGCATAGAACCATTTCTCACTTAAATAATTGTCTTCGATGACGTTAAATTAGAGTACAGATTATGTGTCGGACATGGCTTTTAGTTGCTCTCAGATTTCTTCGTATGACGTGCGGGTGAGAGAGTACAGTTGGAATGTTTGGTATAGAAGACAAATTTGCTAGATTAACTTTCTACTTTTCGTGCCAGGCGTCCCATCCGAGGTCCGAAGTACACACATCAGTCCAATCCTTTATGAAAAAGTATACGAAAAACTTCGAAAACTTCATGGTTATATGTAATCTGTATATCTCATGAATCGATTATACTTAACAAGGTATACCACAATGAATAATACTCGCTTATATCAGAAAGATTTGATAAAAGGATCTTGTTAAGAGGAACGCTTTAGAGTTTTGGAGTCACAGAACTATCTTTGCGCATTGTGTGTAGTATGATTACTCTACGGCTTTATCGTTCGTTCAGTCAAAAACCTAAGATAAAACCTTTTGTTGCTAATATGATAAGGGAATCATATTTAACTTTAATTTCATTTTCCTCATAGAATTTTATTTTATTTTATAAATTTATTTACAACTGCTAAATGTTTCGACGTCTAAACGGACTCCTTCTTCAGTAGTACAAATTATATGACTAACAAGTAATTACAGAAAAGAACACACTATGTACGAGAGCTCATTAAAAATGTGCGCGAAAGATGTTCAACAATATAAATTTTAATCAGTAAATTAATTTTATGTTGGTTTTTGACAGCTGTACTTATTATTTAATTTTCACCTTTTGTATAAACGTTATTTCATCTATTCACCACAGTGTCAGTCAACATGATATTTTAACTGCTCATCTTTATGCATATTCAATTGTAACTTTCATAACCATCACCTTTTCATCGTTTACTGTACTTATTATTTATTTCTTACATTTCTTTTTGGGACGTATGTCATGTCTCTCTGGTTTCTAGACTTCAATAAGTGTAATTTCGAAACGTCATCCTTTTATACATCTCTATTTGCAGCTGTTGAACATCTTTCACGCACATTTTTAATGAGCTCTCGTACATAGTGTGTTCTTTTCTGTAATTACTTGTTATTCATATAATTTGTACTACTGACGAAGGAGTCCGTTTAGACTTCGAAACATTTAGCAGTTGTAAATAAATTTATAAAATAAAATAAAATTCTACGAGGAGAACGAAATTAAAGTTAAATATGATTCCCATATCATATTAGCAACAAAATTAACACTACCTCGTATCAAAGTTACTTTGCACATTCTCGTATTGTGGTCACAAAGATAAGACCTCAGAATCATATGGGATAATTATGATAATCGCTTTTCAATAGTTTAAATATTTTTAGGCCAATTGATTTTTACAGAAAAATACTAATCTCATATAGTTAGTTAGTAATGACTGTCAACTGCCACATTGATATGAAAATTTTCCGAAAATTCATTGTCATTAATTGGTTCTAATCAATTTTCTGTGAGTAAGCTTAGATGAACTTGAGCAGCTTTATTTTAATGGAAAGTATCAAGCAAACAAATGAAAAGTTATAATATTTCGTACCGAACTTTTTGCTTTATTTCTTACATAAGTTACTAATCATACCGACTCAACCTTAATTAGTTAATTTAGAAATCATAAAAATTAAAAGAACCAGCTATTTTTCTATGAATATGTGATTTGGCGTGATTATAATAACAATGCAATAACAATTTTTTAGGGAGAAATGGTAGATAGTAAGTATAAATCCCACAATTAGAGGCAAAGAAATCTTCACCATCTCTTAGAAGCCGGGGCTAGCTTTAATACTATACCACGTTAGCTATCAATGGTGCTGCAACATGTACAGAGCAGATTTACTAGCTACAGCCGTTATGTTATCTTAAACTCAATGGAAGTAAATCATGTTAAGAGCAGCGGGCTTGTGTATTCATTTCCACGCGGGCTATTGAAGTCAGCTCGATGGCCAGCTAATAAGTGGTAGTTGAGGACCAGACAGCCACTTTGCAAAATGTTATTCTAGAAAGCTGACATTTTCGAGTACTCCACGATTTAAATACACTTTGTACGTCGCTCGAGGATCCGATATTACAATACAAATATTTAATCAGAGTTCACAGCTCTAGACTCTTCCCTTATATTCGCACTCTTCGTAGAAGGTTTGTTCCACCGATCACGGTATATAGGAATTCGTCATCATTGTCAGGGTTTAAATAGTAAGCTCGATGCCGTTCGTACATTGTATAAGTAGATTTCAGCAGTAGTACCATTAAGCTTCTCATTTTATACGAATCAAAAAACTTTTTTGTACATTTTTTTTCAAGTCATACTAATGCTGGAGATTCGCGTAGTTACGATACGTTTGCATATACAGTTGAACACTAGAAGAAAATCAATAAATAATAATTTTCGACTCTGCACAAATACGTCGCATTGTGGCCATACGTAGCTCAGCTGCCGCCTAGATTGAATTTTTTGATAATAAAAACAGGTCCTTCACCATCTTCTACTGAAAGCATGCTTTTCAAGATATTATCGAGACTATATCAATTTTTATTAGTCAAAAAAAGGAGAATATGATATATTTATACTTACCATAATAACTATAAACAACGGTAATAAATAGAAGATAAGATTGTTCATCATTTAGGAGCAGTAAATCAAAAATGCATCTAAAAGTTAACAGTTTCTACCAAATGATCGTTTTATCTTGTTGATGGACAAAATTTCTCTGTACACACACTATCGTAGGCCTCATGAGAACTGTTATAGTCACACAAATTATTTTTAAAACAAATTTGTAAATAGAAAACTGCAAGCAACGAACAACATGTTAATTACGATAAAACGTTTTTCTTTATTAAATTCATTTAAGTATTTAATCACAATAATTGACAACACAATAACACGCACAATAATTGACTAACCTCTTTTTGTTTCAATTTTGATAATCTATAGCAGTAATATTATCCATTATAAATTGCATGTGCCACATTGATAAAATCTATTATCTCAAGTGACCGTACAGAAAAAATAGTAGCATTCTCACATCATGTGTTTATTGGATAAGTTAAACATCTTTTCAAAACATATCGGGATCTAAGACAAGTTCTGTGTCATTGTAATTATTGATACTAGTTCTATGAATATTTAGTTCTAGGTAAATATGATTATAATTACTTACTCCAGGAGCGAAAAGGGTAAGAAAGGATCCTAGATGAACTTTCTTTAAAGACAATAACCTTGAGCTAGCAGATAAACCACTTGAATATTGAAAAGACCTGGATAATATCTCTGAAATAGAGATGCTTACGGATACAATTTTCATATACATACTCGATTTTCAAGTTGGGTTATACGTCTCTACTCTAAAACAGCTAAAGAGACTGCAAATACAAGATTGAAAAACGACGTAGAAGTAGATGATGGTTTTTTTTTATATGGTGTGAAGAGTTGGCAAGATTGAGAAAGTGCATAACTTCACGCATTCGGGATCTATATCGAAATACCAAATGGATTTCAAAAGTGTCGAAGACGTCTATTTTTCGAATAAAAAAGTGTATCATGAGCAAAATTTCAAAATTTTCGGGCATGCATATTAACAGTGCTTGTATATGGAAGTGAGACATAGACAATTCTGGATCAGGAGTGTTGTATCGCAATCGGTATTGCCAAAAAAAACTTTATTTTGTTACGTTGAGAATCGTCGACGACTTATTATATGAAGAAATGATGATGTAACTATACATATCCTAATCATCCTAGTGTGGCACTTCTTCCATAACAATGATGGACTGGTGAGCTTATTTATCAATTCTATATACCGTTATTACTATGGTAAGGTGACAACAGCTGCAATATTTCGAACAACAACAATTAGTAATGTTTTCACTGTGGTGAGGAGTGTAGAAAATAACGAGATTTAAATATCCTTGAGTGAAGCTGTGACATAAATAATAATCAGATAAAAATACATCTCAAATTAATCAGCAGGTATCAACTAGAATGAAAAACATCGAGTTACTGATTAAAAAAAAAGAATGGTGAATATATGTATTCAACGTGTGATAAATCTTTTTAGTCGCAAAAAATTACTCATTGTGTTAACCCATGTACCTGTTTCGTTTAATGCATTCAGACTTCACTCAATATGCACTCTTAGAACTAAAATATTTTAATTGATCGTCTCTCAACACTAACAGCCAATAGAAATATTTTCCTGTTTTTCTTCTTCTGCATTTAACATATAGTTGGAAGTATATAGGCTGGAATCTCATGTTGTCGTTTACTGCCGAAATAAATTTATAATATAGATGAGCAAAATAAGTATATCTATTCTAGTATTATTTATAAATAAACGTAAAAACGAAAAGCAAGTAAAAACACGCTATGTATTTTTCTAATATAGAGACCGACAACAAAATATAATATACTGATTTGGGAAATAAAACGATTGATCTGATGACAAAGATACATACACACGTTTCAATCTTTTAGTTTCCAAATTTGTGGAAAAAATTAATGTGTCCTTACTGATAATGTCGGACTCTAAGTTATCCTTAGTACAATAGTTAAACTAGAAAAAGACATTAATACAAGCAAAAATATCTTAATTTTATGATAATACAAATAGAAAAACAGTCAATATTTCCTATTGTTGATCTGAACACAAAAAGACAATAAAACTAATAAAATCCGATTTCAATCACCCTGTTCTTGTGTGAATATATAATACGATTAAACTTCGGTTGACGTCAGTGGTGATAGAATCGTACTGCGTGTACTTCGATTTTGTTGTTCACTAATAACAGGTAACGAGCAGTTAGTATCCATTACAGATGTTGTTCGTGTTAATTTTTTTATTAAATCTTGATCAATATACTGATTATCATTTCCATTAGTTAATAGGCAAACATTGGTCATCGACATGGATATTGTTGAAAGACGTTTTACATGTTTTAAAATATCTTTTACTTTTGTCGATTTAATTCGAGAATAGACAGTTTCATTCCGCTGAGATGATAGATCTGTTCGACAACCTTTATCAATTAATAATTGAACAATTTCACTATTATCACGATCAACTGCCCAATGTAAAGCTGAAACAAATAAAACATAGTCACGTTAAATAATCCCTTTTTCAAAAAAGAAATAAGTTCACCTGTCCATCCTTGTTTATCGGTATCATTCATATTACAATTGGATTCTAACAGAACAAGTGCTACACCAGGATGATTATGATAGGCAGCTATTAAAAATAAAGATACAAGATATTCTAGTTGTTGTTGTTATTATTATTGTGAAAAATAGGGATACATACCGTACATCAAAGGTGTAAATCGATCATTATCCACTTTATTCACATCGGCACCGGCATCAATTAACATACAAGAAATTTCAGCTAATGTTGGTTCAATATCAATAGAAAATGTGTATGGTTGTGGAGGAGAACGACTAGAGTAAAAGCAAATACAATAATATATCTGTTGAATAATATATATATCGTTTGTTAATTCTCATAAATATAAATTACCATAATTCGTGTAATGCTGTTCTTCCTTGCTCTGTTTGAGCGTCAATATCGGTTCCAGCCTCTAGTAATGTTAAAATAATATCGGGATGAGCCCAATAACAAGCTTTCATCAACGGTGTCCAACCCAATTTATCTTTTAAAAGAGAAAAAATATAGTTATTATTAAAATGTTAAAAAATCATTAATATTTTTTTTAACTTACCTCTTGCATTAATTTCACTTCCAGCTTTAATTAACTTTTTTGCTATTTCTGTATAACCTCGTTGCGCAGCATGATGAAGTGGTGAGGCGTCACGGGAATCTTTAACTTCAATTTTGGCATTGTTACGCAGTAATACGTCTACAACTAAATCATGTCCATTTGCTGACGCCTAAAATAGAAAGTTAATTTATTATATTAATTAATTACTTAAATAAATTTTCATACAATTAATAATGGTGTCGATTGACTTTCAAATGATAGCCAATCGATATTAATTGTATGATAAACACGATCATTTTCCAACATTTTTTCAACTAAATGAGCTTTTCCTAATCCACACAAATTATAAAATCGTTCATTTCGACTATCAATATTTCCCATTTTTTTCTAGAAATAAACAAAACAAATATTTTATATTCTGATAAGAACAACTAGTATGATATAACATACTGATTTTGTTTTTGGTCTATGATAGAATAAAAGCAGATAAAGATGGATATGTGTTCAAACAAACATTTTTCTTCTACTTTTGTTAGACACTTGAACAATTATCATAAGCAAAAAAAAAAAGAGATATAACGACATAGCTAACTGAAAGACAAGTTGATAAATGATATGTGCTACCAGAAATAAAAGACGAGAGAGAAAAAAAAGAAGTATCAAAGAAGTTTCATAATCAGAGATATGTTTATGGTACACAGATGTATTATGTATAAATGAACTATGCACACTTATTATATATTTAGTTTTCCTTACAGATTTCTAACAAAAAAACAAAACAGTGATGTGATAGGCATTTTTTTACTCTTTCATTTTTCTTATCATCGGATAATAATTAAAACTTTCTCTCAAAATCAAAAAATCAGTAACTTCATCCACTAGAATGTATTAACTTTTAAATTTTACCCTTTCAACAGTGTTCAAAAGATGAAAAGGATTTGTTGAAACAGCGCATTAATATCAAAATAAATATTTTTTTAGAACCAATGCTTTGCCATTAAGATTAGAATGAATTAGCATATTAGCTTGTAATACCCAGTGAACACGTAATTTGGATTCGTCAGAAATCTTATGAGATTTCCGTTTTCAACGGCATTGAAACAAAGTTCTCACCGAATTTTTCAGTTTTTCAGAAGTCTGAAGAATTTAGTAAATTCCTATAGGATTCTAGAAAAAATAGAAACGCCGGTGTAATTCTTGTGCAACTTCCAATCACCATTTTGTTTTGTCGGCACCCATAGTACATAATTATCATTGATTTATCTGAAGTGTTTTTCACATTTATGAATGAGTTGCACGAAAAAATGATCAACTGAGAACGGTCTTGACCTTCATTAGAACAAAATTTTGGAATGCCCAAGTGTTAACAAAAATATCACAGATTGCATTATTAGAATTTGCAGATAATTTTTAAAAAGTTATCTAGTTATCAAACCGCTCCCAAATCATATGTCAATCCTATAGGATCTATGAAATCACTGAGGAATTCTCAGACAAGTAAGTGATAACAGAAATATGTGACTATAGGGGTTGTAGAAATACGTGGGATATTCCCATGAGAGTGAGTTACTGGACAATATTTATCACAAATTTCCATCATCACGAGTCTCAATGGTCCCACACGCTTCATCCGTCCGTTACATTCCTATAGTCTGTATATCTACACATTTATACTAAAACTAGTCATATTGTCTACTACTCATGTAATCGTTGATAACCAATAAAATCAAGGACCATGGCCTGTAGTATTTTATTAACACTTTTCGACATACGCTTCCCATACCATATCACCGGATTCCTTACTGAGGTACCATAACAAAAATGAGTTTGTTGCCACGAACGCGAATAACGCATGCGCTCCAAAATAAATTGAAAAATAATTTCGCGGGACTCTCAACTAGGGATTTACTTCAACATGTATCTGCCTGGTAAAGATTTCGCTCAAGAGAGTGAATAACCATGAGACTAATGAATTAGAGTGCAAAGTGTAACAGTTCAAATTCTATTAAAATTGAATACTGGATTATAAATTGTGCTAAGTGGCAGCTAACAACCGACTGTTAAATATTTAACATTCTTTATTAAATATACATCGCTCTCTAGAGTATTAAAGATAATAGCTGCAGATAATACTTAAAAAATAACTCACTAAATTGATTCAGCTCCAGAACACTGACCTGTAAGTTTAATAAAAAAATAATAAACATTTAAGTTTTAACGTAATAAAAAATCTTTTTCTTTATAGATCATCTTCAATCAAATTGTCTACTGTTTTTAAATCAAAGAATATGTACATGTTTTTCATTTCTTCCGACATTTGTCAGTATGTGTGTGTTCCTTTCTTTTTTCCTGTTCCAATTATAAACAATCAAGTGTATATTATTTGAAGATTTGCTCGTTTATTTTAATCCAACTCTACTGCTTTTTTATCTGTATATTATAAAATTCATCTAACGTTTACATTTTTCTTTTCATCGATGACGAGTAGCCTTGCTATGTATTTTCTCTTCTTTTTTTTCAATCACGTCCGTGTATTCACGGATATAAATTAACATCAAGGGAAATGTTTGTTCTTCAATCGACAAACGCGGAAAAAAACGAGAACATTCGATTAATTATTGCCTAACTGATGAAAAAAAACATCATTATTATCTAATGAGTATAATACAATATTTTCATTTATAAAAAAAAAAAAGAAGTAAAGCGTTCGCTATTAGCAGTCATTATTATCCTTGATTTTCATTTTTTTTCAATAATGATTTTGAACTAGACTATAATTTCTTTACTCCTAGTTATGTTCTTGAACATAGAATATGTCAGGGTCAATATTCAACCCATAAAAAGAAACCAAACATTACAATTTATGCTAGAGAATGTATAGATCTATAAAAGTCGAACTTTTCTTCATGATCATATTTTATTTTTTGATTACTCGAATAATTCCCTTTTGAAAATAATAAATAACCAACTGTGAAAAGAAAAACGTCAACTATACCATTCAACTTAATATAAAAAGTTGTTCTTGTCTAACTGTCAAAGCTTAAAAATGAACTGGTTATTCTTCTATATCCACATCGATCGAATAGTTTTACATTTTTTAACTCACCTAATAGCACAGAGAAAACCATAATACATCTATCATCTACAGTATATGAATATAAACTGACAATTTTACTATCAAAATGGAACAACAGTTCGTACAAGTAATATGCCGTTTTTCAGCTGACAAGTTCCTAATGCTTATATGCCATGGATCTTACATTTTGCAACAACTTGAAATTGAAAATAATCTGTCGTATTTACTTGACTCTAATGTGTGAAAATATTTTTTATTATCAAACATCTGCTATGCTGCCAAATTAGACTAACTTCAAGGATATACTCTAAAAGAATCCGGCTTGTTTAATCTGTCTTTCTTCTTTTTTGTCTTATTTTAAGACACTTGGTCCCGTCACAGACGTTCTTTCGATTTACTTCTTTCTATAATTGACGGAAACGTCATTCATCTCTTTTGTTTTGCGTTTGTCATTCGTATATAAAGAAGAACAATGATCTCTTCGAAAAAACTTGTTAATTTATTTTAATTTCTTACTAAAACCATTGATACAGTTCGTATTTGAGAGGTGTTCTTACAGCTCTTTAACAGTACTTGCACTTCAACTGTTAATAATGAAAATAAGATGTAAAAAGGATCTCACATTAAGGTAAGACGGATTTTAATTAGAATCTAATCTGCCTAAACACCAAAGAAATTCGAACACTAAATTCTCTTATGCTACTGTTTAATTATACAAGTTATGCAACACTATCAAGGAACTGATTATTTTTCTTTAATGTATATGTCTATGCATAGATTATATATATATTTTTTTACTTCTCACTTCATTTATCTTATTGTCTTACAAAACGAGTCAACTCGAAGGCTGATAATATCAAAATGAAATACACACATACACATACAGTTTTGTTCCATAATCGGGAGCGAAAAAAGAAAAGTAGAAATGCAGTTTGATTGATCTTTTTTTATTATTTTTTTTGTTTTGTAAAAGCGGAAACTATTTGACACATAGTAAATTATTAAAAACGGAAATATTATTTAATTTTTCTAAAAAAATGCAACAGAATTCTAAACCAGGTAAAAGAAACAAAACAAAAACTACAATAGATACAAAATAGAATAGAATAGAATAGAACAGAACAATAAATTAAATACTATAGGATATTATTCTCTATAGATACTTACACAGTAGGGGAAAGAAAAAAAAAAAACATACATTATGAAACGGATAAAAAATAATTACTCTAATGATATTAATGTGAATAGAGAGAAAAAGTCTGAGAATAGATATTATAATTTAATTATCACACACTTGATTAATAACAATAGTAGAAAACAATATATAACCACATCCACACCTACCCAAGATTTTTACATTTTTCAACTCACCTAACAGCAATTCTATCAAATTGTCAAATGAAAAAGAACCATAATATATCTATCATCTACTGTATATAAATATAAACTGACAATTTTACTGTCAAGATGCAACAACAGTTCGTATAAATAGTATGCCGTTTTTTAGCTGACAAGCTTCTAATGCTTGTAGGTCATGAATCTCACATTTTGCAACAACTTGAAATTAAAAATAATCTGTCGTGTGTTTACTCGACTCTAGTGTTTTTTTTATTCTATTTTAGTAAACTTTCTTATTGTGAAATTTATTTTTTTTTGTTATCAAACATCTGCTATGCTGTCAAAATTATTCTAAAATTATATCCTTGACATAAATAAAAATAGACATATTTGTAAATATAGCAAAGAAGAAGTGAATTTTTACATTTTTTTATTTATTTGTATGAGACTACTATTTCATACAAGCATCGGCGGGCTAGAGTCAGTTTTTTTGGTGTGGCAAAATTATTAAAAAGTGTAAGAAACTTCTAAAAAAAATAGTGGTACAGGAAAACCCATAACGAATAAAAGTTTTTGGTGTGGCAACTGTCACACTTTGCCACAATGGTGGCCCGCCACTGCATACAAGAGTAACATGCACGTACACACATCTCGTTTTAATAATAAATATGTAGAACATGTATTTTTAGGCAACACGTATATATCATCCATCTATGTCTGTAATTAAACTAGTGGTGAAAGCTGAAGCCAAAAACTGAAAAAATTGGATAAATAAAGGAGTTTGTACTGAAGAAAATAGTATTTAATATTCTCATATGTTTCCATAATGATCTCACATACACATGCAATGGTATTCTCCTTTCTATCTCATGCACTCACCTATCTTTTCCTTTACAAAATACTTCGTTAAACACCCCCATCATGACTAATATTAGAGAAAAATTAAAAGAAAACCACAATACAAACGTTCTTTTTTTTTCTAATAAACTAACTGATATGTGTTGAGAGATCCTTTTCCTTACCATCATCATCCCTCCTTTCTTTTCTAACATTCCTTAGGCATAATTGCATTGCTCTACAATCAAGCAACAGATCTTAGCTTACAAAACACAACACTTTTTTTTGGCATCAATTTTTTCTTTTTCTTCTTCAGATGACTCGCTGAAAGAAATATATACCAGAAAAGTTTGCAGATGAGATGAGAAGAACAAGAAAAAAAGGAAAAAAATAAGTCGGCATATAACGTCTTGTGATTGTTAGAAGTGTACACAATTATCCCATCTCTTGCGGTTTTAGGTTTTATTCTCTTGAACACAACACAAAATATATGATAACGATAATATCTTGATTAAAAAGTGGCAAATAAAAGAGATTGTTCAAAATAAATATTGCCATATCAATCTATATGTTATGCAGGGAGTAAAGAATTAGCGAAATCATAAAAGCAGCGAGGAATCTGTAGAATCTCTAAAAAAGTGAGAAATCTATAAATTCTCGAGAGAATCTATTATAGAATCTCTGGTGATTATAAAAATGACCCCATAGTATTGGAGAAAGTACGAAATAGATAAAAACATGATTTCGATTTTACACCCTAAACTGAGAGATGTTCGTTGACTTTTATTTATGGAGGAGAGGGGCAAGGCAAGGATAGAGTGAGAGTGACAGGAAAAACCGACATATAATTGAAAATCCGGAGTTGGATTATAGTTTTCTAATCTATGTAACGGACTAAGCAGGTATGAATGAATCCTTAATTCAGCCGACGTTTATAGGCCAACTTACAGTTTGAAATAACTTCGTGAGTCGATTAATTTGTAAAATTAATACACATGTCAATTTTTCCTCTCACTTTCACTCTATTCTCGTCTTCCTTCTTTCCTTCATAAGTGAAAGACAACGAACAGCTCTCAGTTTAGAGTGTAAAATCGAAATCATGTTTTATCTATTCCGTACTTTCTCCGATACTCATTAATTTATAGATTCTATAGATTTCCCGCTGTATTGAATAGATTATGTCAATTTTGTACAGTCTTCGCAATATATTATATATAATGCACTGAAATTTGACTAGACAACACCATAATTAGAGAGGCGTATGATGAAAAGTAACCAGGTGGAGCGTTGACCAAAACCAGACTATAACAAAGACTCTAGGGAAAAAAACGTATGGTATTTGTTTATTGCTCTCATTCTCACATTCTTCGAGTCGATCAGTTAAAGCTATTGTTCTATGAATTGTAGACAAATTTCAGTTTTTCAATAGTATATATGTTCATGTAATTGGATGAAACACATTAAAAGGCTTCATCTATGTTTTTATTCTCCAAAATTTATGTCAGCCTTCTATTTATGAATATGCAGAAAAGAAAATTAACAGTTGCTTACAATTTTCAAATCTTATTTCTTCTGCAATTGAAACAAAACATCTATTACACTGTCTTCGAAAATGTTTCTTTTACTACAGAAAATATCTTTGATTATATTTTCTTCTTTGTGCTTCATTTCAATGTTACCCAAAAGCATGTACAGAATTTTTCATGTACTATTCTTTCATTCAATAAAAATCGGCTGATTAAAGTCATAGGTTAGGAATGTTTAATCTACCATAATACAGATAAAAATAATAATATAAAGAAAATAAATTTAGAAAATAAAACAGTCTATAATTCTCAATAATGGCATAATCGACATGGGAAAAGAAGTATAATAATAACAGGTTCGTTGAGCATTTAGTCTATTTTGCATATATGATAATACTAAAATATACGTAATATGAATGAGACAGACCTAACGACAGGTTACTCTGGTAGTTTTCAATCCGGCATCTCATACATAATAATTGTTGTTCTGGATAATTTTCTGTTTTAGTAACGATTCATCAAAACTTCTCATGAGAGTTGAAATTTCCTACATTTTAAGATCGTAATAAAAAGCAAAAACTATTGTAGGCATATATATGATGCACTGGTGAATTGAAACAGCAAACAGTACGAGAAGCCGTTTATACCTGTAGAGAAAAAAATAAAGATTTTTGTCCAACAGAACTGCCTCAAGAAATCGTGTTTCGATGACGACCACGCGTATCTTATACTTTTTCTTACCTATCGCATGTACTTAAGAAAAATTCTAAATCCATCATTAATATGACAGATGTTGATTATAGTTGAAAATCTCATCTGATAGAAATTAAATGTTATCTACTATTTCATTGTCGATTTGACTTAATAAACTTATGTTTCAGAGACAAAAGTAATCATTGATTATAAGTGGTAACAATAAACAACATTAGCAGCCATTCTTTGAACGTAAAATTTTTTTAACAAATTTTGAGCACTAAAGAAATTCATATCGTTAAAAGACAACGTATAAATAATTGAATAAAAAGTTCTAATGTATAATAACAAACTAAAAAAAAAAACGATACTGTGCAATGATTCTATAGGTAATTTTTTTTTTCTGTTTGATCAGAAAAATTGACTTCGGTTTATTTTGATTATCCTATCAAAACAGAAAAAAAAACGAAAATAACAAAATTTGTCTAACATTACACAAAACAAAACAAGAACAAACAACATATTCATAGTAAAAAAAATAACAAAAAGAAGAAAAGAAGAAAACAGATTACTTCAAGAATTGTTTTTTTTCGGCTCTTGCAGTCTTTTCAAATTTAAAACTGATTGCACAAATCAGATGAGAAAAGAAATGATGTGCGTATGTAATTATTTATTCAATGGAATGTGATCACCGTCAAGATCGGTTATTTGACATAATGAGTAATACTGTGTACACGCGAGTATTATGAGATGACAAATTTCTTATTCATTACTTATTTCCATGCTTTTTTAGTTGTATAATTGGATGCAAAACGTCTTGCAAAATAGGAACCAACAACAAATGCTATGGTTGCCCATCCGATGAACATAAAATCAAAATCATCTTTAAGTTGATCAAATAAACGAGATGGAAATACACGAGTATAAAATAGATCTAGAAAATGGCAGCAAAATAAATTAAAAGATGTTTTTAGTGTATTAATCATTCATACCTAAACCATAAGCAAATACAGCCGATGTTGATTCAAGTCCTGTAGCCATTGTATGGATCGATCGAATATTATAAACAAACTGATAATAATTAATCACATATTCATAATTGATCATCAGTTCAGGTGTGTACATAATCAAGCCTTCCTCTCTGAAAATAATATATTAATAAGTCAAATGTCAAATGTACTGTAAAACAACAATGCTTACCTGTCCATTTGTGTCATATCAAGTGGTCGTCGGGGATCAATAAACATCCACGGTATTTCTATAAGCATTCCATTTGGAGTTGCCACTAAAAAATCAACATATCTTCAAATCTTCTATTTCTAATCTATCGGATTCAAAGCGTAAAAGTCAATATTCTTTCAAAATAATTCATTCAAAAAAGGAATTAAAGAGCATTGCTCTAATACCTACTTATTATATCTTTTGCAGTTATTCCTTTTTCGGTTGTTGTCACTTGGATGGCTGTCACACCGTATGGTAAAATATAGGCTTTAGTTTCTGTCATGGGTACTATTGGATCAAATGATGAAAATGATGAAAAATTATATTGGGTATAACCTTCGAATAACGCTGCACTAACAGCTTCATAACGTCTATATCGCTGATTGTAATAGGTATACTAAAAATATAACTCATTAATTTTATGCTCATTGATGGATTAAATGACATACTAGAAGCCAGTTTTCTGCCAATATCACATGTACAGGCGGTTTCACCTTTTTATGTGTACGAGCTAATTTTATTGACCCTGTGACGGTATCAACTAAATATAAGTTGACAAATGGAACTAAAACAAAACAAAGAGATAAGAACATATTAGATTCTACTCTTATAACTAATTATATTTACCTTTTTGATAGTCAACACCTTCTGTAACAACAGCAATCAGATTCGGATTAACATATTTGTATAAAACACTTCTATCACCTAATACAATTCCATTTGAATGAACCCGATCTAAATAATACAAAAGTATATAGATTTTATTATTATCAAATAACATCTCCTATTTTCTAATTAAGAACTTTCATTTCCTTTGGCGACACGAAGGGGCCTAGATACAATAAGAATGAGGGTAAAAATTTTTGAAAGTCCAATGAATAAGCTAGAAATATTTTTGAAGATAGTCAGATAATGTATCTGATAAAGCTCTTTAGTTTGTTAGGTTTCGACTGACGAAAAAATTCAGCACAACTATAAATCCGAATATGTCTAAGACAAACATTTGAATAGAATATAAGATTTCGTATACACAGAAAAGAGTATTGCTGTAGAATTTTATCATATACAGTTATTTACTTTTGCAAGTAAATTTCTCCAGACTCGGAGCAGGGGGATAGCATACGCTTGACATGCTGTCACTCCAGCTTCTTTACCTGTACTTAAACGTGTATGAATATTAACAACATCTTCATTTTTAAATACTACACGCCACACTTCTTGTAAATCAGTCGACTGAAAACAAAAAAAGCATTAAAACAGAAATACATAATTTTCTAGAAAATAATTTTTGTTTACCGTTTGTTCATTGTCATTCACCGTCAAATGATAACCATTGAATGCTTGTTCGGTTTTGTCAAATAAATAAATGTACGTTGGTGTTGTTGTTCCTAACGCACGTATCAATGGAACACTCGGAAATGTGTGAACCTGAATAACAAAAAAAAAAAAAATTAGAAATTATAGAAGACAAAGTAATACAATACACTGCTTACTTTATTTTTTTTGTCAATTAACAGAAGGACTTTTTTAAATTCTTCATCGATTTGTGATGATACAAAAACTCGACGAATTTGATATGGTAATGTTGTACAAAGATTAGCGACATTATCACCTGTATAGGGATTAAATGTTTTTATCTGAGTATTTTGAGAATACTAAAAGAAAAATGAACACTTTCATTTATGTTAATTATCAAAATTCTCTTTTTAACTTTAATTCTACTAACTTTGTTTTTATAAACAATTGATGCTAATGGTTGATGTGTGTAATGTGCTGCTGTTCTTATATTAAACAATGGTACACTTGGTTGATTAAAATTATCAAATGGTGTGAAATCGTTGTAAAATTGTTTCCATAAAATATTTCCACTTTGAGTTAAAATACCAAATACCTAATTCCAAACATGAGAAAATAGACATCTAGTTTATACAACAATCTCTCTTATATCTCTTACTTTTCCGACTGAGGTTACGACGACCAGTATTTTATTTAGATTAAATTCATCTCGAACAAGTGCTGCTTGTTTTTCCATAAAATCTTGATTTTTATGTCGATGTATAATAAAATCGACAATTTTTAATACAAAACTCTAAGAAAAAAAAATATTAAAAGCAATTTGGTATTAAATCAATGAAACAAGTATTTTATTTACAATTAACTGTGATGTTTGTGTTGTTATTCGTCTAATAAACATGCTCAACATTCCAGTGCCACCAAATTCTTCTTCAATACGCATTTGACCAATTGATAATGATAAATCAAATGCCTCAGCAGATACAATTGCTGATAATGATTCATCACGATGTAAAATAAGTTCAGCTAATTAGAAAAAGAATCATATTTTGTGTAAATTCTTAGGTAATACTAAACTGGTACATAGTTAGTGAGTATGAACAGAAAGTTCAAGCAATTGGATGAAATAATCTGATATCAGGTGAGACTTGTTCACCCCCTATCACTATAGTTGATGAGATGAATGATGACTTTTGAAAAATGGCAGCTTCAGGAAAGATATCGAACTACTTGAGACTGACTAGTGTGTCAACATCTTATGCCACTAACGGTAGTCTCAAGACGAAGTATTCTTCCTTCTACTATCTAATAATGCATTGATCTAATACATACCACCATGTTCACCGAATTTGATTACGACTAATGAGCCATCATTCATTCTCAATGTTGCTAATGGACTGTTGTTTGAATGATATTGTAAATATTCAATATCACCCATCAGCTCAGGTAGTTCAACAGCATATGTACGAGAAAGAACTATTGAACGTTCATTAACTGTGTATTTTTGAAAATTTAATTTCTAAACAAAATATTCAAAAATAATTGTAGTTAATGTGATATTTAGTTTATTTTTATGTTACCTGCTCTGTTGCATATGCTTGAATGAGTATCAAATTTCCTTTTTCCATTGCAACACTATATACTGAATTTGGATACTTTGTAAATATTTCTAATTGAATATACTCCCAATTACTATTATCCGACGATGTTGCCTGTTGTTGTCGAAAAAATTTGTACAAGACTTTATCGTTATTTATTAGAGTAACCAATACGAGAATATTTGTATTTGTTTCATAGATAACTTTATAATTTTCAATTGAATCAGAAAATGTCAATTGCTCGGGTACAATATCATCTGTAGTCGACTGTATAGAATTAGATGCAGGACTATTATAAATTGATAAATGATTTTTGATTGAACACAGAAATATATCATTAGCAGTTGTACATGATCTAAAACAATCGAAGACATTAATTAAAAAAATTAGACTAAATAAATATAAACTGTTAATATGAGACTAATCAGTTTTATTTATTTTAGAATAAAAATTATTTCAATATCTGCACTATATAAAACACTGTCATTTTTTGAACTAAGAATATTTTCTTACTTTTTTGTTTCGTTCAAATCCAATGACCATCGTATTGATTTTGACGATGTTTTTGTTCCGTGTACTTTTTCATGATATGTGAATATCAACTGATTTATATTTGAATCCAAACTAATGACAACTACAAACTGAGAAGTCGATAATAGAAATAAATTTTTTAAAGTTGATCTTAAAATAAAAAATAAAATAAAATATAAAATAAGAAAAATACAGCAATTTATGTATCACATACTTTGATGGTAACTCTACCGACCATAACATTTCTCCGTAAGATGATACACTCCATAATAAATCGTCACTTAGAATATGAATTGTTCCTAGAGAAAGAAAAGAATATCAAATCAAATTTCATATGATCAAATAATATAAACTACCAGAATCACGATGATTTTTAATAATATGACTATGTTTTGGTTCATGTATAACTGGTGGTGCTAATTCCCACAATTCTAAACCTTCTGTGTAACGTATTGTTCGAACTCGTCGACCATTTCCACTGACAACTAATGCTTCATTTTCAAACCATATAATACGATCAATTTTACCAAGCGCATTTGATTCTAATACACGACGCCAAGCTAAAAATAAGAATTTAAAAAGTACGAAATATTATTATTAACAGAAATTGTCTAATTGAAAGATATTCACTACTTTCTTTATTAGCACGAATGACAAGAAACAAAAAATTTTACACTCACACACAAATAATTGCTATCAGATTGCATTTTTGAATACTATTCGATTTATCAACTTGACAATTTTAAAGTTATGTTATTAATTAAAAACTTATCCATTATTGTTCAAAGTCGATTATCAACAGTTCGATTGTTCTATTTTATCGTTGATTACAGTATCAGAACGCTGAACGAAAAATTAGTTAGTGGAGCATATACCTATCAATGTGACTCATCATGAATGAATCAATCCTCCCACTATAATAATAATTGTTTATCGAGCTATAAACATAAACATAGACTCTTTTTTTCTTTTTTTCTTCAACAACATCGATTCTGCCTGCTAACAAAATGCATCCTTTAGCTCGGCGACGGCTAACTAAAGGTGTACTGTAGTTTCTCATCAATACCTATATAAGTTAAAGGAAACCATTCATTGATATCATATAAAACACTGGTAATAATAATACAAATCAAATCAAATCAAAAATATCATCATCAAACAAGACACAATTCAAACGTTTGAGGTAACACAAAACAAAATATGAATAGTATTGTGGATAAAACAGTCAACGTTCTTAGTCGGTTTGGAGAAAAAATTGAACGTCGATTATCAACAGGTGATAGAGATTCAGCGAGTTTAGAACGAGCAGCAAGTGGACAGTTATACTCTAGTGCATCTGGTTTTCAACCCGTTGATCGCTATCGGAAATCTTCATCATCGTCTTCTCAAAATTATTATTCGTCAGCATCACCTATATATGGTGGACGAGGATCACCAAATTTTTTTGGTCAACAACAAGTGGGAGCCTTTGGTGGATTTAATAATTATCAACAACAACAAAATGTTAATGCTTATAATCCCTATGCACAAGGTGGCGGTGGAGGATACGGACAGATGAATAGAGGCTACGGATCGCAACAAAATTATGGCTATGGTGGTTTTGGTGTTGGAGGAGGAAATCCGTATGGAGGAAACTACGGATCAAATATTGGTTACTCTCCCGATTATTATATCGCCGAAAGACGACAAGTCGATTTAATACCAGCCCCTCCCCCTCGATACATTCGACAAGATGTACCCGTCCCATATCCAGTCGATAGACCTGTTCCTCAGCCGTACCCTGTTGAGGTGCCCAGACCCGTACCAGTGGACAGGTATATACCAGTACCCGTCCCATCTCCCGTTCCTGTCGATCGACCTTATCCAGTAGCAGTACCAGTGCCAGTACGCTCACCTCCTCCGCCACCAATTTGTGTTCCTGTTCCTGTGCCCGTACCAGTTCCTTCACCACCGCCCAGTCCAGTTATGTTTGAAAATCGTGTATCTTACAGTCAGAGATGGTATGCTGGGCAACCTCAAGCAGGTGGTGTAATGTACGGTAATTACATGCCATAAAAAAGCTGTTTTAGTCAACACTGAATAAAAATCGACGTATTTTAGTATTTTATTAGCCTCGAGTTTATTTACATTTTTTGCTGTATTCTTTTTAAAGTATTGTATATTACTGTCATGTAATAAAAAAATAATAAGATTGATCATTTTGCGCAATAAATAACCGAATACGGAAGAGTACTTTTTTTGTCCCCAACAGTCAAATACTGTTTATAAATTGAGCAACATTCTCCTGACAAAATCTGTATGAACTAAATGTGGATTTGTTTATTAAAATGGAAAAGTGTTTACAAGCCAAGAGGTTAACAGTTCAGTCTTGTATATATAGTCAAAGAGATAGTTGAAACAAAACTAAAAATTTTCTATAGCTCACAATAACCAAAGCTACACAGTCAGATGTTCTTGCCTCTTCTAGCGATTAACAGGCTGATCATACTTACATATTTTGCGTGTTTGTAAATCGAACATTGCCAAAACATTTTCATTCGTTGATATAATTATTCGATTTGCGATTGGAGGTTGATAAGAATCTTGAACAAAACCAACGTGCTGACGTTGCCTAAAGAAAAAAAGAGTGAGAAACAATCATTGAGCATAGAACGCTGTGAATATTGTTCAGCATATTGCTCGTTTATAAAATAAAAATAGTACATACCAATCAAATTTTCCAATTTGATCTTCAAATAAACCACATGCTTTCGATAACACTGTTAAGAGACAAACAATAAAAAAATTCATCTAAAATAAGTAAACAAAACAAAAACAAGTAGAGTCAATAAACATTCAGTATCCTACGATCCACTAGCAGATCGAGAAAAAATTTCCATTAGGATGCGTATTTTCAGAAGATTAGCTAGTATGTAGGATTTTTGTCAGAATTATTAGAAAAGACAGGTTAACTCATTTCTAAACCAGAAGGAGCACTATAAAATCTAAAATTCCAATAGGTGCGACCACACCGGTCTTAAATTCGTCACTGCTTTGATCTGATTTGATCGTGGCATGAAAATGTCAAGTTAATATGCTTCGATGCCGTCAATATTTTCTTATTGTATTCATCGCATACGACTCGTCCCCGAAGCTCGCTATCTTTTTTTGTCTTCATTTTACGTCCATCTGGCAAAGGATTCAACTTTATGAAAATTTTCAACAGAGAAAGAAGACTAATTTTACTCAAAACTGATCTTTATTTAACATGATTTTCTTTTTGAAACGAAACGACAAAAACGCAGTACAACAATGGAATAAAACATGTGAAGAATTCTTCTTTCATTTCTTGTTGTTAATTTTGCTTGAATTCATCACTCGCATTTGTTTGTTGTTCTTTATGATGTACTTTTTGTTTTTGGTTTAATTTCCTTTACATTAAGGCCTGGTGGTAACGATTGCTTGACTTTTTCGGCTTTTTCTTTATCACTAACAATTACTAGAAAAAACCAACAACAAGATGAACGTATTATGAATGAAAACATTTTTTTTCGTTTTCACTCACGTGTATAAAGATATCGACTACAACGTATTTTAAATTTTGTATTTCCACTACGTGTACCATGTTCAGGATTACGTTTTATTGTAACGGATTTAGCATCTTTTCGTCGAGCAAATATTAAAAAATCTTTAATATCTTTAATTTCTTTTGGCATTTTCTTTTTGTATTATTTTAAAAGAAATTATGTATTATCTGAAACGAAGATAGCAGAAAATTTATTAGATAGGTAGGATTCAATAACATCTGTATTTTGTTTTGGTCTAGAACGATAGCTTGAACTATCCTAAATCAGAAAGTTCACAATTGACTTCAGGAGTAGGAGAAGCTAAATTTGATCATTTATATCCATGCAAAAATCAGCATTGAAAGTGGTTATAAATTTGATGAACGAAAAAAATGAGCAAGTGGTACGAAAACAACCTTTCAAAACATATGTATAACAATAACAATTATACGTATTTTATGAAATTTTTCTGAAAGGACTCTGACACTGAACACGAACACTAGTAAATCGAGCTCACAAGTAAGCAATGACGAATGAGTGACGAGGACAGTCATGCCAATAGACTCCACCGATTGGTTCACAAAACACCGATTTTTATCGTATAGTACAAAACTCCACATACCAGCCTTCTCTGATTTACAAAAACATTGAGCAACAAAATTTCATATACGCACTAGTAGTTATATGTAAGACTAGAAGATGGGATATTCTTTTTCCTAGCTAGTGCTTGGTGAGGAACTTAAAGAGGATACTTACTGAAATTCAGGAGGATCATATCTCTCCCCAATCAAAAGCGAAAGCAGTAAACTTGGGTAGGCTCGACGATAGATGGATATTTATTATAACTCTACCGATCGACTATCTAAATTCACTTTTTGTGAATAAACTAGTCTTAGTCTAACATTAAAAAGATAACTTCAGTCGATGACCACTCGACGCCATCTGCTTGAAGCGTCTCCTAATCTCAGATTAGGATATGTTGAATTATTTTGTAGCTGAAGATATCAATCAAAAATGAAAATCGTCCAACAACCATCTTGTTTATTGTTGATGTTATGCTTCTTTATTGATTATACCTTCATCACTTTAATATGCTCGCATTTCACATCTCATCAATTGTCTGTCTTACCATACAGTTCACTTTTCCTTTTTCAACGCAGCTGCCAGTAACTTTGTTTTCTCTTATTGTTCTTTATTCTTTAAACAAACTTGCTTCTCGTGTTATTTCCCACAGTTTTTACTACCGCTCTTCTAGTTCTCAACTTATGTCTCAATTTTCTCTTCCAAATCTCGCTCTTCGTCGTAAATACTTTAGACGTCTACAGCTTTTCAAAATTTATCATCGCCTAAGTCCTGTTTCTCTTTTTTATACTATTCATCGCTGTCACTACTCATCTTTACGTCTTCATCCCTCTAAATATGTTCGCATTCCAACGTCTGCTGATGATTTTTCTCCGCAAACGGTACATTCTTCTTTTTTTATTCAACTACTGCTGACTGGAATAATCTCCCGGAGACAGTTATTCGTCTTTCTTCGTTAATGCCTTTCAAAACAGCTTTACTTAAGTATCTCTTTCAGTGAAGCGTTTGTCAGTTAAGAATTTATATGTTCTTTTTTGCTTATTTTTTTAAAAAACTTTTTTACTACTTCTGGTTCTAGCCTTAGTTGTCTTCTTTATTTTATTCTTTTTTATTACTCTTTTGGTGTTGTTTGGCTTGAGCCATTGTTATTACAGGTCGGGGATCTTTGATGACTCTCACTTTTCGTGAATAAAACAGTCTTAGTCTTAGACTGGAATAAACTACCAGAATCAGTCATTCGTTTTTTTTATCATCGTTTAAAAGAGCTCTATTCACAATAAAAATATCACAAAAGAAAACTATAGAAAACGCATTCTTCAAGAATTTCTCTTGTTTCGTAGAGCTAAATCAACTACTATCGAGTTTCTAGGCAAATATTCCGCTATTTTCCTGGACGTAGAGCTGTTGTATACCGTTGTAATGACGAATTTCTTGTATTGTTTTTTTTATACTTTTAGATGAAAATTAAAGTATTATCTCGTAATCCAAATGATTATCTTCGTGAAACAAAGAAAGATATTAGTAAAATTCAACGAAATTACGATACTGATTTACATCCATTTGAAACATCTCGTGAATATATTCGATCGTTAAATGCTGTCAAATTAGAACGAGTATTTGCCAAGCCGTTTTTAGGCAGTTTGGAGGGACATCGAGATAGTATACAATGTCTAATAAAACATCGCACACAACTATCACTTGTTTTATCTGGATCGTGTGACGGAGATGTAAGAAAATGTAATATGAAATACAAAAAATCAAAATATTCATGTTATTTAGATCAAAATATGGAATTTACCAAAACGTGAATGTGTGGCAACGATTCGAGCTCATAACGGATTCGTACGTGGTTTATCAGTTATACCAGATGGCAATGCATTTTATTCGGTAGGAAATGATAAACTGATTAAACGATGGACTTTTGACAAATATGATGAATCAACAATGACAATTGTGGGAAAAGTAGGTAATAAATACACGATTATCACACATTATTTTTCAGGTGTATCGCACTCTTTGGATTTATTCAGATATTGTGATTTTAATTTTTGTTTGTTTGTTTTTTTCTCAGCATATATTCACATCAATTGATCATCATTACAAAAAATCTGAGTTTGCCACAAGTGGAGAAACTGTCGAATTATGGGATGAAAATCGTGCACAGCCTACTCAATCATTTAAATGGGGTGTTGATAGTCATTCTAGTGTCAAATTTAATCCGATAGAGGTTTGATTTAAATGCATGATTTATTTTAACATATCGAATTGCTAATTTTTTCTACTTTATAGACCACTGTATTAGCCAGTTGTGCTGCTGACAGAAGTATTCTATTGTATGATACAAGGCAATCTGTTCCATTGAGAAAGGTAAGAGACAGAATCTGTTTTGAGATGTAAACAGTGAATATTATAATTGAGCATATCATAACGTGAATAATTTTTAGCGCACAGTTTTTCTGCAAAGGAATGTGTTTGAAAAATTCTGTTACCCTATTACGTAGTGCAAAGTTTAGGCTACAGTAGAGCCATTTTCTTTATGTTCATTTATCCACACCATAGGCTGAGAACGAAAGATTCTGAACAAAACAAGTTTTCTCTCTTTTTGTAGGATGAGTATCGATGCGTTTTAGACCAATCTTTTTCAAGCGTCTTTATTTTTTTTCGTTTTATAGTAGATATGATGCCATTTTGATCACTTTATGGCGATGGGTATACAACTTGTTTGGAATTGACCCTCGCAAAGAGAGAAAGAGGTTGTGTTGTGCAGAAATTTCCGCTGTTTCTGTCTATGATCTTAAAAACTTTTAATCGAATTTTGGTGAGAAAAAGCATCTTTGATGAAATTTTCGTAAAGCCGTTCTTGGAAGACTTCTTTGCGATTCAAAATTCAAAATTTTTATTCAATACATCTGTTTCATGTGTTTTTTCTCCCCGTTTTGATACTGAACTGTTAGTTTATTGGACGATTAGAATGTATAACTACTATACCGTTGCTCACTCAAATCTAAGTGGAAACTCACTAGAATATATGGATAGGTTCTAGAATTGAGTTTTGTTTACACTCGAGACAAAACTTTTGAACCTTTTCGGTAGTATTTTTAAATTTCAAGATGAGCATTTTTCACGTAGAAAATGGTTTAAAAAACTGCAATGAAGCTCAAATGTGGTATAGAATCTGCACTAGCTAACAATGTAGAAAAAAATTTCCTTCCTTTGAAACATTTACCTGGTAAATGATTAATTTTTGTTTTATTCTAGGTTATTCTTTCAATGAACAGTAATACCGTTGCCTGGAATCCAATGGAAGCGTTTGTATTTACAGCCGCAAATGAAGATTATAAGTAAGGATCACTTAAAATTTGTGTTGGTCTGTGCACTGTGTTTGGTTTGTTTGTTTTAGTTTATACAGCTTTGATATGCGTAATTTAAAACAACCGTTTAATATTCACAAAGATCATGTTGCAGCTGTTATTGATATTGATTATTCACCTACGGGAAAAGAGTTTGTTGCAGGAAGTTTTGATAAAACAATTCGAATATTTCCTGTTGACAAAGGTCATAGTCGGTGAGTATATAAGATAAGTGATGTTGATATATGTATAGTCTCTTTTGTTGTTGTTTGTTGTAGAGAAATATATCATACGAAACGTATGCAACATTTAACATGTGTTCAGTGGAGTTTAGATAATAAATACATTATATCTGGTTCAGATGAAATGTGTCTGAGATTATGGAAAGCAAAAGCTAGCGAAAAATTGGGTGTGGTAAGTGATGGTATATCATTTCTGATCTCTCAGTGCCTAAAGATTTGCTATTTGTTATTTTTTAGATACGAAATCGTGAATCCGAAGCACTCGAATACAATGAAGCACTAAAAGAAAAATTTTCAAATTTTCCAAAAATAAAACGTATAGCGCGACATCGACATTTACCACGATCAGTTTATTTTGCCAAAAAAGAACATCAAGTCATACACGAAAGTCAAAAACGAAAGTGCGTCTTCTGTTTCATGCTGAAAAGGGGTAATGATGACACCTTGATTTGTTTCTTTCTTTTAGAGAAGCAAATGCACGTGCCAACAGCAAACCTGGTTCAATACCATATGTAGCCGAACGAGCAAAATTGGTAGTGGAAGAACTGGAATAAATCTTTCTTTTTTTGTTTTCTTATTGTTATAATTTTTTCCCGTTTTTGCAAAATTAAGTAAAAAGGGCGACATTGTGAGCCAAGTCAATTTATCGACATGAAGGGAAAGTACTTTGTTATGATTGAGGTAGGTGGTGGACCGAACATAACTTTTCTAGGGGTAAGTACGTAGCACATTTTCCTAAATTGATAAATACTTATTTTTGTATAGTCAAGAATTTTGAATCCTCTTCTTGTAATGAAATGAACTTTTTTGCATATATTTTCTGCCTTTTTCTAAACGAGAGATCGATTTTTTCAAATTCATTCTGGGTCACTATATATGCTATTCCACGTATGAACATATTCATGAGAGGCATTGTGTATACCCGAATGTAAACTGGCCATACAAATTAACAACTTTTCGTCGTGAATAAAATAATCTTTACATTTATCACCACTTAGCGAATAAGAATAGATAAAGTGAAGATCAGCGAAAAAAGCGAAACCCACTTGAGCATGACCTCTTAAGATACCTGTAATATAAGCATCACCAACACGAGTCACTGGATGAGGTGTATTAGCTGCTGCACATAGTCCATTTCGACCAGCTTTCGTTAACAAATAACCTATTCCAAATGTATAAGGTGGATAATAAAATTCGTCATATTCCTCTTCAGTCACGACGTATCGACCGACACGATCTACTCTACTTTTGTATCGAAACCATCCGAATATCAGTGGTATATTGGGTAGTGACACATTTTCATAGAATTTTTCAACAGTTTTCGCTAATAATGGTGTATTTAAATGAATATCTTCATCAGCTTTAAAGATGTACTCTACTGATGAACAATAACGTTGTGACCAACAAAGTGAGGCTAACTCTTTATAGGAAACAACTGCATAATTTTCCGGCAATGTTATTTGCACAACATCTAAAATAGAAATTAAGGATTTAATGCGGTAACCAATCAGCAGATAGTCTATAAAGAATGGTGTTCTCCGTAATTGTTTTCTATATTCTTTTCTTTTTACTTTCTAGTTTTATATTTTTTCAAGAAGATAGTCCTCACGATTCTTTATAGAAACAAACAAACAGAAAGATGGTTTATTTTTAGTTTTATTCCTTTGCTTGTAGAGATATAGAAAAATCTATCTAGTCATTTTTTAGTCAATGAAAAGCGAAGCAAATTTAAATTTTATACTAAAATTAGCTATATCAGGCTAGATCTTCTGGTGCCAAACAAATGTCATTTTTCTCCTCGTATGTAATAAAGTTCTTTTAAACTTAATTTTATGACACAAAGGAGTGGGTGAAAATTCTTAAAGTCCTCGGTAAAACAAAGAAATTTTCGTTTTTCCATACAGCATATTGAAACAGAGAAAATGCTTATTCGATACAAAATCCTAAGTACTTACTTCCTATATATTTCATACTAGCAAAATCTTAGATATTAGGATCCTACTGAGGTTTCTCCAGATTTGTTTAGGACATCAACAGAATCGTAGCAAATCCTACGACTTTTTGTTAGACTTACCATGATAGAGTAATTGTTCAATTTCGATTTGTCTTAACATTGTATCATCGACAGCGACAAAAAACACAAGTCGTATGTCGATATGGTTATATGTTCTTAATGCTCCCCATGTTTTGCGAATGGCTTCTCGTACATAAGAATTCGACGAACGGGATAAAATCGTTATTAACAATGTTTTTGTTGATTTCAGTTTCTCACAGGGTAATACTACTGGATTTTTAAATCCTATACGTTTATGGACTAAATACGATGGTGATCGTTCACTTTTAATCGCTGAATATCCACTTTGATTTTGCTTTTTTTGTCCAAATTGTTTTGGTGTTTGTTCATCATCTTTAGGCAAGTAAAATAACATGAATAACGATGAATATAATAAAATAAATATGATTATAAGTTTAATACAATCGAGTGTGAGAATTATTTGAAACATTGTTTGTAAAATATGCTTCCAATGATATTTAGTGTACATATATATTATTATGAAAAGAATTTTACGGATAATGTGTAGCAAGATAGTTCTTAAATAATATTTTATACAATAGCACACATTGATAATGGTCGACATGCCTCAAAAGACTAGAGTAATATTTTCATATTTAAAATAATAAACTAATTAGCTCGCTTCGGTTTGCCACTTTATTGAATAGATTTTTATATTGACAAAATTCTTAAAGTACAAAAAAATTGATTATGAATCTGTAACAAGTTATAGTTGTTCTACTTCATCGTATTAATTAAAATAGTATATCTGGTTCAAAGATCATCAATTATCAGTTATATACTTTTTCAGTTAATTATTGACTCGTCTGCGACTGCAAGCTGTAGCTAGTTCAGCTAGCTACCACACTCGCAGTCCCAGATGAAAAAAGTTTTCTGAATTCCATTACGATTATTTTCATGTTCTCCAATACTCAGTTAATAATTAACATAATTCTAAAAGGAAGTTGACACATATAGGTTTTTCATTCTGTTCTATTGTGTGTGGTGTGTGTGCAATAAACCGTATCAGTGCTATGTGAATAGAATTAGAAGGAAACACGTGAAGAAGTTTGCGTCAACAATAAACGCAAAAAAAACGAGCAACTACATAACACTATAGGTAGTTTTCCTTTTATTTCGCATTAGAAGATTTTCTTGAAATCACATCAAATTTATTGTTATATTATTCATAATTCTGTAAAAAAAATTAATCTTTCTGATTGAAATTACATTATGTTTACTCTTTAATAGAAACGCACATACATACTTTCACATAAAGTATGTATGTACAGAAGGTATGTAGAGAGTATAGAACAAAAATACAATGCAAAAGCAATATTTTCAAACGATACGCATTGTTAGCAGTTAATAAATATACGTAAAAAATAAAGATGTATCAAATAATGTTACGCTCCAAAAAATCTCATATAAGAGCATATATACGTATGTGATACCGCACAAACATCTGTAGGAGAGATAAGTATGAGATAGTTCGATCGAATGTGAGAAACAAAAGGAAACTTATCACTTCTTATAGCAGACAGGCATAGAAATTGTTTGTTTATAAATCACTTTTTACGTGAATAATTATTATGGCTTGATCATTTTGCGATGCTTTTCAGGAAAAAATTTATGTTTTCAGAAAAAAAACCAATCATTTTCAGAAAATCGTTATTACATGGGAAAAAATTACGACGAATATTTTTTCGATGTAAAACCTATTATATGGTGCATGATTCAATGTAACTCGACACGCTGATTTCGAAATTGTTTTGACAAGATTCTTAGTAGTTGGAACAAAATTTTTTTATGGCAATTAATAACGCATACATATGAAGTATATTTGCCCACAATAAATGCCTAGAAAAATCTCATTTTCAATTTTTTGTCAAATAGTCCTCTGGAAGGACACTGACATGATGGTGTGTCCAACAGGTATTTATATGATGAGACACTTCTTATTTGTGAGTTCATTACCCCTGGAAAGAAAGAATTTGGAAAAATTGTTTTTATAAAATAAAATATCTGGTACATTTTTATTTAATTGAAAGTTGCTGAATTTGTTGAGTCTATAATAAACCTTTGTGAACACTGAGTTGGATTTAGAAACGAAATAAATATTAGAAGGATAACTTTTCTCTATCCTCTGAGCCATTTCTCACATAGATGGATACTTTTTATACACACTGTTTGAACGAAGAGACTCAGCTATGCGATGAAAAATTACTTGTCTACAAACCTGCAATGTTGAAAAATATTTAAACGCAAGCATAGGCGACGGAGCCTGTAAGCTAGGATAGATATGGCTTGAAGAAGTTCAGCCTACCCTGGATTTGTTAATAAAAAATATTTTTCTATGTTATTTTCTCCTCATATAGTGTACGCTGGGGACATTATAACCAGGCACAAACTTTTCTCAGTATTTTACGAATGGTTAACCCATTTTTGGTCAAAGAAAAATGGTGATTACACAGGTAGATACAGGTAGATATAATAATAACCATCACATCAAAAACGGCTGGGACGATGTAAATCAACTTTGATCCAACGGTGAACTTTTACCTTTCAATTAAAAAGTCCATCTTGTAGAGAATTTCGAGCTTTACCCATCTCATG